TTTCTTTTCTTTTCTTTTCTTTTCTTTTCTTTTCTTTTCTTTTCTTTTCTTTTCTTTTCTTTTCTTTTCTTTTCTTTTCTTTTCTTTTCTCCCCTTTCCACACTGCATCTCTAAGGAAACTCCCTCCACTGCCAGAACTTATATTTATTGACCCCATGCCGTTCTCATGAGGTGGTTCATGGGGCCCCATTGGCTGCCCAGCGTGAGACACAGCCGTGCCTGAAGCCATCGTCGCCGGGCACGGCCACCACACGGTGGATCTTGAAGAGTGAGGAGAGGCGCAGGGGCTGCCGCTGAGTGGCTGCCATGTCCTGTGGGTGGCCTCTCTGCTCCGCTGGCGCTGGACCTGGAGAAATGCAGAAGAAGGGGGCAGCTGTGTGAGGGACATCGCGACAGGGTCTGTCTGTGTACCCCGGTGTCAGGTTATCTGCCCTCATCCTCTTTTCCCTGACTAAATAAAGGGCGTTTTATGGTGTCTGGATGCCTTTTTTGCAGGGATCCTAGTGAGCCAGCACCTCCTGCTGCAAAGAGCCACGCTGAGCAGAGATGAGGTGAAAATGGAGATCTTCATTTACAAAATGAATGAAAAGGACCCTGCTCCCCTCTCATGGTGTCAAGATTCCTCAGTGTTTGTTTCAAGGTGATCTCAAGTGAGTGTTTGGACATATACCCAAGCTGGGTGTGAAAAGCCATGTTAACCTCCAAGTATTTGCCACCCAAAGGCACTCACTGCTCCTCTGGTTACCACCTCCTTCTTCATTGGGAGATTCAGGCTGTGAGAGGTGGAGATAAAAGAGTATCCAAGCAGTATTATGTGTGACTGCTATGGACGGCTGCTTTCCAGAGTATTCCCTAACACTGGGATCTGAAGAACTGGATCTTTTGGAGGTCTTGCCAAGATGAAAGGCAGATCCCTACTGCCTGCTCCCTCCATCAGAGCAGCAGGCCAGGACGTGCCTCTCTTCAGGCAGAGAAGACAACCTGGATCAGTTGCTACCCACAGTCACCTTTCTTCACTCAGTGTTCACACAGATGCTCATTTTTAGCAGAAGATTCCTTGCTGTTGGTTTCCTTCACAGACCTCACCAGGGGCCCAGTTCTTAGTACATGAGCAAGAGAAGAAGCCCAGCTCTTCTCAGAAGTGCTGAGGCAACAGGTCAGCTCTCGCCTTTGGACATCCTGCAGTACTGAGCACGGAGCTTGGAGTTTATGGAGGGGAGGAGTGGGAAGAGCTGTACTGAAAATTGTGGAGGACAAGGGGCCTCTGCAGCTAGAGGAAGGTCTGGATGCTGAATTAATTAGACATAAATTAGAGGAACAGGCTTAGAGAAGGCAGCAACCTTAAGGAGAAGAGAGGGTAGAGGAGAGGAGGGCGAAAGGGCAGTGGGCAGAGCCTGCCCTGGTTAGGCACTAGAGGCACGTTGTGCCATATCTGCTCTGTGATAAGCCCCTATTTCGATCTTTAGGAATCCAGATGCCCATAAAAGTTTAACTTAATTAACTTCAGAAGGTGATGTGGGCAGCTGAGTTAGCTCCCACGTGCACAGAGCTTTAGCTGATAACGTGGAGGTCTTAAACGGTGACAGTAACAGTAGGGACAACCACAAGGTTCCCTGTGCTCGAGGTGGATTGCTGCCTTGGTCTGGGATGAGCACAAATTTGGGTGCCTGGGGAGGAGTCTTCGCTCACCACCTTTCCCAATGTCACCAATCCCAGCTTTGCAGTAGGTGGTGGATCTGGTGCTGGATGTGCTCAGCCCACCCCTTCCTCCCTCCTCCAGGAATGCCGAATTCCCACCTGGCTTCGGCGGGACGTGGTAGCGGAGCTGTGGATAAAGCCTTTTCATTTCCTTCTCAGCGTAGCTTTTGGAGAACCGTCCTTCTACCTCGAAATCACGGTCTGTGGAGAACCTGAGGGCGTGAAATGAAAACCAGGCCCATCAGGAAAGCAGCCTGAGATGCCAGGGGTAGCTCCCTGTCATTCGGCTTTGCCTCAGTGCTTTGATTTGTGCCAACACCAGCCTGAGCAGCCCCATCCATCGGTCAGGCACAGGGTAAGTGGAAGTTTTAAGGCCTTGGGCGCTCGATAGGCTGGATCTACAGCAACTTTGAGACATCCCTGGCAACCCCGAGTGCCAAAACGGCTTCATCACTTTGATTTAGGAGCTGGGGAAGATGTTCAGCACAGCCCAACTGGACATTGTCATAAAACAGACCCAAGACAGCACAGAGCAATTGATGATCTGCAGAAATATTGGGCTAAAACATGACCCGCAGGATTGGGCTTTCTTGCCACCAGAAACCACACAAGGATCTTAATCACCACTTAAAAATACTCAAATATCTTAGGTTTCTCCTTGTGTTACAAGAGGCAAATCCCAGCTTTGCTGCCTGTGCTGGGTCCTGTTCTTAGTGTCACATCAAAGTTAAAGGTTTGTGCCCTTGCTCTAGCAGAGATTATGTGGGAAAGGAAAGCGATTCAGATACCTGAACTGGAGACGTTTCCCATCCTTTTCCACCAGAAAAGTTGTCTTTGGTTCTGTTGGCTCTTCCTGATGTGCTTTCTGCGCGGGAATCTGACTCGTGGGAGCCAGCTTGGGAGCCTCCTGGGAGCAGAGTAAGGGAATGGGAAATTAAACCAAGGTAGATGTGAGTTACTGTGTTGGGATTAAAACATCCACCTTTGAGGGGGTGTTTTGGTCTTCTCTCCTAGCAAGAGAGAAGTTCCTGGCGCTCATTCAAGGAACATAAAGGATCTTGTACCAGGAATGAGGATGTTTGGGTGAGCAGGGTGGTTTTTTTGTGAGAAATAAAAGCAAAATCAGTAACTGATTAGGGTGGGAAGCTGTGGAGACTAAACACAAAGCCCTGTGGCAGTCACAGATAAAATCCTAATGCAAACAAGAGTGTTCTGCAAAACCACCCTATGAAACCTGCTGAGACATTTAAGAAAATAATACAATTTGGTCTGTTCTTGGTGACAGTCCGATTTGCTTTTTGAATATTGTAACTTCTCTTTACTGACACGGAGACAAGAAAACAAGAAAATTAAACTTGGTGTAATTGCACAGCACGGATGGTGGGACTCATCTCACCTAAGACCTGAATTCAACCGTCTAAAAATGAGGCTCCATTTTGACCATAACCCTGTAAGGAACAGGGGCAGCTCTGTTGTTTTGTAACATGGATGAGTTTTTGTCTGCACGTGGCCAGGAACGGGCAACTTGAGCTGCCCAGCAAAGGAGAAGACCAAGAACAAAGAGGGGCAGCATTGCTGAGGTCTGTCAAGCTTCAACCTTGCAGCTAGCAAGGAGTCACCCTCAGTGCCTGGCTGCGTTTTGGGTTTGATATATTTAATACAGCGTAACTGAAGAGTGCCCAGAAAAGGTCTTTCCTCTTGGCACACTTGGCTGCCTTGCTGGTTGACTCCCATGGGTGGTGGAGCTCATTGATGACCAGTGGACCCAGTGACTACAGCCTGATTTTTGTCACATCGTTGACGTGATCTGCTCACCCCACAGCCACAAAATCACTGAGCTGATACTTAGCTTTTCCTCGCTAATTTTTCCTCCCACTTTGCTCAATGTTACTGCCTTCTTCATAGCCAACCTTTGGGATCTCTGCAAGGCCTCAACAGACCTTCTCGATAGCTTAGAGATGGAGCTCATTGCTCATGTGTGTGATGAATTAGGATGTGTGCTTTACCGTTCCGAATTGCTCCCTGATGAAAAACGCCCCGGGGTTGGACTTCAAGTTGGGAAGGGAATTGTTCGCTACGATCAAGGCTGTCGTGTCTTCGTTGTATGCTGAAGATTGGGCCATGAGCGCCATGCATCTCCTGCAGTTATCGAGGTGAGTCTGAAACGCATCGTCCGTGAACGGCAGAAAGTCCCTCAGCTGGGAGGGACACAAGGGAGAGCTGAATTAGAAGAGCCACCTCCATACATCCATCCTACACTTGCAGGAGAACCACCATCCGCTGCCAACCCCGCTTGCCTGGACCTGGTCCTTCCCAAGAGGACTGCCTGGAGAGACCCCAGTTGCGAAAAAATGCAGAGAATAGGAGAAAAAGAAGGCGAATATCTACAAGTTTCCTCATTCCAAGATTTGTCATCAAAGGAAATGACGATCCCTCTGCTTACCGGGCTGGGAGCCTCAGGAGGCTCTTCCTGCTGCTGTGAGCAACGTTCTTCCATATCTGCTGCCTCCAGCTGCGGAACAAGAGCATTCACACACACACACAAGCCATGCTGGCTTTAGCCCCAGCTGATGAAAACCCTCAGGCACGATTCTATTTATAAGTAGCTTATAAATAGCTAAATTCCGAACAATTATTTTAATAAAAGAAAGAAGAGGCCGGTAGGTTGCTTTTGAGTCATACTCATCGTTGGCTAATAGGCTTAGCCTACCTGTTGAAAGGGGGATTATTAGAGTTGTTATTAAAGCCTCCAGAGTGACTTTTAAGTAT